ACCAGTGCTGTTCCACAGGTATCAGGCCAGTGTTGCATGACCAGGCAAGTAATGGAGACACCTGGCATTGTATACAGAGCTAGACGGTAATACAGACACCAGGCCTGTTATAAATAGACCAGACTGTTTCATAGAGAAAAGGTTGTTACAAAGAATCCAAGCTGTTGTACAGCTTATTGGCCTCGTGGCCTCCTATGCGCAGACAAGCCTGATGTACATAGACTAGAGCAGTTATACAGATACCAGAGCTTTCATACACAGATCAGACTTGTTATAAAGAGGACAGGCCTGTTATACTAAGGCCAGGCCTGTTATACAAAGATCAGGCCTATTATACAGAGGCCAGGCTTGTTATACAGAGACCAAGCCTGTTATACATAGACCAGGCCTGTTATAGAGAGACCAGGCCTGTTATACAGAGACCATGCTGCTATGCAGAGACGAGGCTGCTTTACAGTATCTAGACCTGTATAACTCGACCTCTGTTATACAGAGACCAGGCTATAACATAGAGAATTTGAATTTTGTACACAGACAAGACCGATTACACAGAGACAAATCTGTCATACAATTTCAAGGGGTTATACAGAGACCAGGCTTTTACATAGATATCAGGCCACTTATACGGAGATATTACAGAGGCCAGGTCAGTTATACACAAACCAGCTTTTATATAGGCATAGGCTCGTGTTATAGAGACCATACATATTACAGACCAGTTATGCAGCGTCCAGGCCAGTTATACAGTGAGCTGCTCTTTACACAGAGACGAGAACTGTTATACAAAGACTATGCAAGTTCTACAGGAATCAGGCCTTTTAATACAGAGACAAGGCCTTCCAAACAAATACCAGGGAGCTTTATAGATATGAGTCTTGTTATACAGAGATCAGGCTGTTACACGTAGACCAGGACTTTTATGCAGAGAACAGTGCAGTAATACAGAGACAAGGCTTGTTACACAGATATCAGGCCTCTTGTACATAGACTAGTTATGCCATACAGAAACAAGGACTGTTATTCAGAAACCAAGCTGCTTTATAAAGACCAGTCATACAGAGACCGGTGCTGTTCTTTCGAAACCAGATCAGTTATACAGAGCCCACGCTAGCTTTAAATAGGCCAGGACTGTTATGCAGATACCTGGTCTACTATACAAGACTAAGCCGATATACATATACCTGCCTTTTATACATTTATATTGAGATCAGGACAGTTGCACATAGACGATGCCTTTTATAAAGTGATCAGGCCTGTTATGCAGAGACTAGGCTTGTTTCACGGAGATCATGACTATTATACAGAGAACAGAGCTTTTATACGGAGACTAGTGCTGCTGTGCAGACATCAGGCCAGTTATACACTGTGCAGTGGTTTTGTACAGAGACTTGACATGCTATAAAGAGACGATAGCAGTTATACAGATGATAGGTTGTTATACAGAGACAAGAAATGTTATACAGGGACCAGACTGTTATAAAGAGATCAGGCCCGTTATGCAGACATCAAGCCTGTTATACAGACACGTGGCGTTTTTTTTATAGAGACCAGGCTTTAATAAAGAGCTCAGGGCTATTATGTGGAGTCCAGCACAGTTACACAGAGATCAGGCGTGTTGTTCCTTCAATACACCTCCACGATCTTGTTCCACCCTACTTCACCAACTTCATAACCGCATATCAGACTGTCTGCTCCCCTCCGCTCGGCAGACACCGGCCTGCTTCAGGTCACCCGTAATTCCCGCCCCACCGTTGGAGGTCGGACATTCAGCGTCTGTGTCCCCACACACTGGAACTCTTCCCGCTTTCCCTCTGCCTCACATCCTTCATGTGCCGTCTGAAGGTCTTTGTCGTCCACCGTGCCTTCAATTTCAAAAGCCCTCATTGCCTTACACGGCCCTTCCTCCGCCACCTCCTTCAATCCAACTGACTGGGACACACAATTCACTCAAAAAAGGTCGGCAGCTTCACATCACCCCCCCACCCAACCCAATATCCGCCTCACCGTGCGAGATTTCAACCATTGCACATGTCGCGCACCAGAAAACCATCTCAGAGATACGAGATCTTACAAACAACCTCAAATTAACACATTTGATGGCGCTATTTTTCATCCTCCCACCCATTCCCGCCCCACCCAACATGCACACCACCCCTCCTCATAGTACATCTCCTTCCTTGCTCGGGTGTCTTTGTCATTGTACAAGGTTTTCTCTTCTTCTCTTGGGATCAAAGTCACAGCCATTGATTTCACAAGAGACTATAGGAGCGGTTTTGTCAGCTCAGTGACTGGGAGCCGCCTACACACTCACACCGAAACCGAAACCAGTTTATGTCAGGAAGTGCTGAGGATCAAAATGGCTTCCGGTCTCCAGGCTGAGATCTGGACCGAGGAGATCATTTGCCCGATTGGTCTGGATTTCTTCACGGATCCTGTTAGCCTGGGGTGTGGCCACAACTTTTGTCGCTCCTGTGTCACCCGGAGCTGGGAAAAGCAGGAGGAAAACTACTGTACTGTTTGTCAGGAGATCTTTCCAGAAAAGAACCTGAGAGCCAGTTGGGCCTTGGCGAGTCTAGCAGAGAAAGCACGAAATTTGATCCTGACCCCGACACAGACGGAAAATAAACTTCACTGTGAGAAACACCGGGAGGAACTGAAGCTGTTCTGTGAATCTGACAATAAATTTCTGTGTGTAGTTTGCAGTCATGAGCAGGAACACAGAGGCCACAGCTTCCTACCCATTGAAGAAGCTGTTGAAATCTATAAGGTAGGAATACTCCTCAAGAAGGATGATACCTGATCCAACTGATATTTTCACCTTCAAACAGGTTAATTCTGTGTATTTATTCCAGGATAAACTGATATCCTCCTTAGCTTCTCTCACACAGAGGAAGGAAACTGTTTACAAGCAGAAGCCAAACAGAAAGAAAAGATTTCACAACTGAAGGTGAGATCAGATGAGAAATGACCACACAGCAACGCAGCTCGTGCTTCCAAACCCTACTCACACTTCACAAAGCTTCTG